CGTGTCGAATTGCGCAGCACGACAGTCCATCCAAATCTCAAGTTGTTCTTGTGGAGTTTTTGATGGAAAAGTGGTGGAGCTTGCCATTTGTTGAGGACTCCGCGGACGGAAGGGTGTGTAGGGTATGTGGTTTGTGGATGGCTCGAGGTAGAGTCTTGCTGTAGACAATCTGTGTTGGGTATCAAGGAAATGGCTGGCGGCTGCGGGATGGTGAAGGACTGCGTGAGTAGGAGTAGGAGATATATAGGAAGAGGAGCGGTGACGGCGTGAGGATGTGTGGTGGTGAGTGCTGCGTGGTGTCCGATGTGTAGTGCGGCCTCTCGAACGGCCTGTGCGGTGGTGATTTCGTCGGCGTCTTCGGCCGTGCTGACGGTGACGTTGATGTCGCCTGGGTGCTGGGTGAGATGGTGGAGGGTCTGTGAGGTGTGTGGTGTCTGCTGCGTCGGATCGTATTGATCCTGCTGGAGTTTAGGGCGGTTCACGGTGGCTGGTTTGGATCAGTAATACCTTCTGTGGAGGGTTGGGAAGGAAGACCCGGAGGAGCGGTGGAATTGGTGATGCCGATGATGGCAACACTGGTGCCGCAGCAATGGGCGTTGGAGCCACAATGGGTGTGGACGGTTCGGAGGGAGGTGGGTCTTTGTCAGTGGCGGTCAGTTGACCAGGTTGTGAGACTGGCGGGAAAGCTGAGAAGGGTTGCTGTTGCCAGACTCCCTGATGGGGTCCCACGACAGAGTGGTGGTGAGTGATGCAGGGTGGGTGGGCGCTGGAGTGAAAGATACTGGATCAGGTTGCGGTAGTACGGCAGCGGATGGAGAGGAATTTGGCGTGGTCATAGGTTCCGGTGGGGCTAAAGTGTAGGCAACAGGAAAGGTAGGATGGGAATGTGGAGGTGGCAAGTGTGTTGGTTGAAACTGAGGTGGCCATGCCGGCTGTGGTGGTATGGTTGGCTGTGGGAAATGTGATATCATTGGAGGTAAATGTTGTGGAACAGGATGGAAAGGCGTCGCTGAGGGAGTGGCGAATATGGGTACGGCCATGGAAATTGCATCTCGACAGGGCCTGGCTTGACTGTCGGCTGAAGCAGCTGCAGGGATGGCGCCAGCGCAGCGGTTCCGCAGCTGAAAAGAAAGAAATGAAAAGGTCGAAAATTGAAATGAGAGAGCTGCATGCAGTTGAATAGACTCGTGACAAAGATGGTGAATTAGAATATGTCTGATCGCACATCGATTGGGGTGGAAAATAGGGCACTGTACACTGTTGAAAGTCAAAGCGAGCTGCAAAAACACACATAGTCATGCAAACGAAGATTTCTGTCCGTACAAGCCCGGCGGCTGTTGAGGCAGTCGATCCAGTAGTGAAAGGAAGCGGTCAAGAGAATCCAAGGTTTGGTGGAAAAAGGGGAAGCAGTTACACGATTTCCGGCATGCATGAGAACAGCGCCTCCTTGCGGAGGATCACACCCAGCACCCAAGTGGGACGACTGAGCGAGTCACACTCTGACATTGGTTTTCAGTTAACTCAATTCCCAGGAAAAATGGCCATGGAACGGCAAGGTGAGAGGGTCAGCGAGAACAGTATGGTTGAACAATGTTTGCAATTGCACTCGAAAAACGATTTGACACTCAGCGCGGCTGCGAAGCGGCTGAAAAGTGGCGGTGGGGAGAAAGTTTGTGGGAAGTATCATGAACCACCATGGAATCAAAAAAGGGAAGATTGGGACAGCTTGATCAAAAGTTAGCCGCAGGTACACACAGCTGATCAGGCTGTGCATCCACCGAACAAGCATAGCTTTGTTAGCCAGCGTTTGCTTGTCGGCCGCTGGCCCCCTGCATATGCACGAAAACAAAAGGGAAAGGAACTCTTAGTAACAGAGGTTGACACACACACACCCACACACACGCATACATACCGGTAGTGTGGGGTAAATGTTTGCAGAAAGCTGTGTGATCTCCACACCACGCTCAATGCCAGGTGCTTGGGGCACATTCCGGAATCCCCATGGCCCTCCAGGATGGAGCCTGGGTCTTCCGCTTGTGATGTGGTGGCATCAAAGGAAGTACGCAAGTCTTTTAACATGGAACTAAGTTTCCATCTCGGCCATTCATGGTCCGAAGAATTATGGCGCAGTATTGGTTTTCCGCTCAGCGGCTGAGAAGAAGGGCAACTTGCTAGTGCTTCTTAATTGTTCTGATAGTGCAAAACGACCGTGGTTTGCGTCGTGACTGGTAATGCTAGGTTGGAAGAGAGGTTGGAACTGAGTCAAAAAGCCAAAACTAACCTCAGCCGCGCGCCTCCCAATACTGATTCTCCCTTCATCTTTGCATCATAGTTATGAGTCATGAGAAGATCATCTCTTTTCGACTCTTCTCTCCCTTTTTCATCCTGCAAGTTCAAGGCATCCCGTGTGGCATATTTTGAAGTGTTTGCTTGGCTTTTGGACTCCTTTGGACCATTTGCAGCGGAAATGCTGTAGGATGTCCTCCTTGCTTTGGGCTCTTGGAAGTGAATAATCAAATTTGTGGTTGGACCCGGAGAGAAGCCAAAAGCCAGCTCCTTCAATCTTAATGCAGCCTGAACATGCACGTTTTGCATAGCTGCCAGATGTTCAGACAGACTGCTGGTTCAGAGTGCTACTTTTTGCAAGTTGAAGCAAGATGTGCTCAACACACAATGTTGGTGGACTTGTGAGATTTGTTGTGTTCGTTGACGAAGGGTAGGCTCTCTTCAGCACCTGTCCTGGCAGAGTTTTCAGACAATCTATGCTGGCCTAGTGCATCACACAGTAGCACCTCGCTTGATAGCTACCGCACGGTTAACCCAGGAGGAGGCTTAAATTCGACAATTGTTTTCCCAGAAATACGTGGCTTTTGTCAATGTAAACAGGTATAGGTATGGCCTGGTATCGGTTGCAGGCGAAGGCATTTGAGGTGTGGCTACTTGGAGGTCAAATGCATGACAACATGCCCGCATCGAGCTCACACGGCCGGATTCCCTAGTAGCATCCTTGCTCCTAGTAGCGATGCCAGGAGCCCCCAATGGCTTCTTGTTCCTAGTATATAGTAGGGCCAGGAGCCCCTAGTAGCATCCTTGCTCCTAGACAGGTGAAAATTAATGACTGATCAGTTCAACAGTGCTTGCCCAACTATGCTGCAAGCTCCGGGGGGCATGCCGCAACCATATAAAATACTCTTCCAATCATTGGAGCCATTGTGATTTTGTTATGTCAATGTGTATGCCCAGCAGTCTGACCAAGTTTGTAGAGTCTGTAGAGAATTTGAGAATGGGACCCTCCCTGTCCTACCTTTGCCTCTTTGGGAAACAAAAAAGTACAAACTTTGGAGATACTTTGTCATTGCAGGAGCTTGCAGGAGCTGCCCTGCTACAGCTTACCCACCCCAAGGTAAGAATGTGGGACCAGCTGCCATGCTCAAACCAGAGGCTTGAAGCTTACACAGAACCCTCCGATTCTTAGCTTGAAGAAGTCCAATGTTTGTTTTGTATGTTTTTCTCTTGTCCAGGCCTGAGCTCCTCGGTTTTTGAATCCAAGAATCATGTAGTGCTGATGCTGTAGGATTTTAGGTAGCAACTTCCATTTGCACCGTTCGCATGACAATGATCACGCCCTGGCTTGCTGTGAGCCTTTCTAAACGACGCTATGACTGCACAGATCTGGTTGGCGTTTTGGCGCTTCTCAGTTTGTTTCGAAGCTGGTTCAGTTTTCTTGCCAATCGTGGTTGCTGCATTTTTCTGGTCGCAGTTCTGCTGTCAATCATGCTCACCCAAATTATTCTGCAAAGCGGCCCCAAGCACCGTGACATGGCCAAGCTGCAAAGACTGGAGTCGTGTCCACTGAACTGCGTGAGCTTGCCAAGAGCACAAAAAGAGCACCAATGCGAGCGGCGGAACCAGGCTTGTTAGTTGTCACGTGTCAAGACTGTACTGAGATGTGGTATATAGATCCCCTGCGGGTGATGCCCTACAAAATGCAGATCATTTGATATCTATTAAATGGGTTTCAGATCTTCATTTTATAGTGACTGCTGTGGGGCATTACTCACGGGGATGTTTTGACACCACTTTATACAAGACATGGTGTGGAGACTGTGGAATTCTGGATCTGGAATGGCATATTCCAGAAAGCATTTTATAGACAGAGGATTGGGGGGGTTCTAACTTCATGGTCTTGGCATTGTGTAAGTGGAATTTCATTTTATAGTGCGAGCGGGTGTTCATGTTTATAGAGATGTATGTCTTGACACCCATTTAGACCACCTATTTCTGTATAAAATGACCGACAAAACACCAACCCAACGCCCACAGGGGATGTATATAGTGTATCTCTGAGATTATTTCATTCCCTTTCCGCTGGCATCCGCCCTTTGCACTCTTTGGGTCAGCACAGCATTTGAAAGGAATCTTGGCATTTGATTCGTGAGGCCTTCGACTCCTCCGCATGAGCCAGGGGGATTATTGCAGATTTGTGCAATTTGCGCCTGAAAGGATCGCTTTGACTTTGACTCCTGCTTCAACAAATGGCTACGAAGCAAGGCTTGTATTGTACAGGCTGGGTGTGCATTGGCGCCTTGGACCAGAGCTTGAGCTGACAAGAGCTAGGCGCGCAGAGAAAAGGTAGAAAAAGTTGCCAAACAAACTGTTTCTCTTCGATGTGGCAAGCTTGCTCACCACTCACCGCCTACTTTTTGATTTGTGAATTCAACTGCTTCCCAAACGTGTTGCCACTTGAAGAACCGAACAGAATTTCGAGGCACCAAAGAGTGAAGACACCTCACCGCTAAGCACTATTTTTATTCTTGCCACGTCGAACACAGACTTCTGAGCTATTTTCCAGTTGATTGCACAAGCCATTCTTCACAATGTAACTTGTTCTAATTCAACTTTCTAAGTTTCCCAGAATTGCCGAACAAACATGAACACACCTTTTTGATGACATCCCAACATGAGGGACTGCTAGGAATCCCATTGCAGTCCCCACGCAGGGCCCGTTTGCAAGATGAACTGTCAAACTACGTCAAGGCAGGCAACAGCAGTCGTTGTCGTTGACCAGGCAATAGCATGCAATTTGTGCATCCAAGTATAAAAATATAAGACTGCAACTTCTGGCCGCGCTGGATATGCAAGATTGCCAGCATTGCCAGCACTGGTTGGTCGAAATGACGCCCCCAAGTTTGCCATCACAAACGCTTCATTCTGCACTCACCTGCAGCTGCACCATTGCTCCACCTCAGGTCCTGCCAAAAACTCGGCTTGTTCGGCTAAAGGAGCGCAGAGGCCACGATCCAACTTGCAGCACCAAATGTTGACTAGTTTCACACACTTATGGATATGCGTACTGATTGACAGCGGTGCCACACGCCAGCCTAAGAAACCCAAATCCTGAAAGGTCCAGGGAGCCC